AAGAAGGGCAAATGTCAGAGAAGTGTCCAAGTGGCCAGCTACAACAGTGAGCAGATTAGAGAGCTCACTGGCTGAAATAAGAGAACCTGTACAGACATAAACAGATCTGGCCTCAATGGGAGAGGGGCCAGAAGGAAGCCACTTCTAAGAAAGGCTAATACACAAGCATGCTTGGAGTTTGCTAGAAGGCATGTGACAAAATCGGAGAGCTTTTGGGAAAAGATTTTGAGCCATTTGGTCTAAAATCAAAGTGTTATGTTTAGCACAGACCACAGCCCAACGCCCAGGCAACACCATTCCTACCATCAAGGACAATGGTGGTAGCATCATCCTCTGGGTTTGCTTTTCAGCAGGAGGAACTGGAGATCTTGATTTCGTCAAGGGAATCATGGATAGAGCCAAATGCAAACAGATTCTTGAGGAGAACCTGCTCCAGTCAGCCAGAAATCTGTGTTAGGGCAAAAAACGTACGTTCCAACAGGACAATGACCCAAAGCACAGGGCAAAATTTGTTTTGGCTTGAAGGTTTGTGTTGTGAATGGCCGATTCAAAGCCAGACTTAAATCCAATTGAAAATCTGTGGTATGACCTGAAAATTGTTGTCCACTATCGTCTTCCATCTAATTTGGGAGAGTTGGGAAAATTTGCTTTGGAACGTGAGAAAATGACCAATGAAAATGAAAATCAAAATGTGTAAAGCTCAAAGAGACATGTCCAAGACAACTCAAAGCTGTAAAAACTCTGGGGGTGAATACTTATCAATATAGCAATGTTTTGATTATTTTTTTTTTTAATAATTCTGAAGAAATCGAAATAATTAATTGAATTTAATTTCTTTAGCGAAAATTTCCATTCTAATATATTTAAATTTGATGTCACAACAGCAAAAACAGAAATAATCACTAGAGGATGAATACTTTCTGGAGGCACTGTATATCCTATTTGGCATACAAAGAGAACACTGTAATAGAAAAAGGCAGCAAACTTGTCTATAAATTTTTTTTTTAACAACATATGCATGTAGAGTGTAAATAAATATACACAATTGTTGCTGATTTTGTTTAAATAATAAGTAGCTTTTGCTCACCTGTCAAATAATGCAGTAAATTGGTGCGTTCCAGAGCTAAATCATTTCTTAGACCAGTGACTGCTCTCTAGGTCTCTACTTTCACCCTTCTATTCTCTAGGTCCTTATACTCTCCTCCCTCATTCAATACTTCTCTCCTCCTCTAATCTCCTAATCCACTCCTTCTGTCTCTCGTTCAGCAACTCTAAATAAATCTAACTAAACCAAAAGGGAAGGACAAACTCTCCGCAACCTCAAATTTCAACACGGTGAAGCAAAATTCATTCTGTACGTGGTTGCACGGTGATGCGATATTTGTTTGACTCTGCATTCCAGCACTTTATATTTTTAAATAAGACAATGATTATGATATTGAGTTAGCTTTTTTTAATATTAAGATATTAAAAGTTAGCTGTTATGCATATTTATTCGCCTCCTCATGCCTGCATCACTTTTGTCTGCAATCCATTGTTGATGCTGTTTTTCAGAACCGATTTCACACGCTGCTATTTATTTCTTACCCTTTTTATGCTTACTTGCTGTCTGAATACCTGTCGTGTATGTCTTGTGTCTCTTGTACATTTTATTTACTATATATTTTACCGTTTTATATTTCTCCCCTATATACTGGTATGTTGAGGTGCTGAAATACAAGAATTTTACTCCTTGTGCTACACGGTGGACGTAACAAATAAATAAAACTCTTGAATCTTTCATTTGAGGGTATTTCTGTCCACACTGTGTGTAGTGTATTGCAAAGGAATCACAGCCTTTTTATGTATAGTCAACCATTTTGGAATTCCAAAGGCAAAACTGGACAACTGGCTTTTCAGTTATTAATTGGTCGGCCTTGTGTTACTCCATCACAAGTTCATACTTAGAAAAGACAAAGAACTTATTTGAAAATTGATTTTATATTTCACATTGACAAATCTGACATTTGCATTTGGATGTTATCATCTCACAACATACGGAACAAATGTGTGTCCATTATAGTAAGCAGCCAATTATGAGTCTTAAAAAATAAACATAATAATAATGAATAACAATAATAATTCTTATTGAAACAATTAAAATCATTAACTACCAAAAATAAGAACACACACAGGAGGTTTATAAGATATAAACCACTGATGTGCTACAAAAACAGACTAAAGTGTCTAAAGAAGTTGCTAAATGCATAATGAAAAGCCTGTTCTGAAACAAAATGGACAGATGTGGAACATGTTACTTGCAGCTATACAGTATGATAATGACAGTGATGTGCACAAATCAATGTTCATATACTCTTGGCCAAACTGAAACCAAAATGGGCCAAAAATAAGCAAGTTTCAAACTCCTGCTGGGTCTGCTGTTTTCCGCAGGCAGAATACTCTACCAACGCTCAGGAGCTCCTCACAAAATGAAGCCCACGTCATCCAGTCACTGATCAACCTGCAGGAGCAGCAACGTCATGATCTCCTTGGCCTGCAGAAACATCAACAGGATATGTACACCAAAATCGCAGAAGCTCTCAAACCCAGCTGGTAGCCTACAGGGCCGGTTGGTCTATCAAGCAGTGAGTATGTCCTGGAGTGGGTTGGGTTGAAAGACAGCACTGGCCCTCCTGAGAGCTGACATTGGAGGAAGGCCATTCTCCGTCACTCAGAAGGTCCTTGGCTCCTCCATGTGATGGCTGAGACCTGACCCGAAGAAGCCAGAGGTGCTGGCTGAATGAGTGGTACTGGAGCATTTTGTCACCAGACTTCAGGCTGGCACAGCAGAGTGGGTCCATTGGTGCCACCCTGCCACACCCAGGACCTACCCTGCGTCACTGCTCCACAACGCTGATTTCTGCTACTGGAGCAAGAAATTGCATGGCAGATGCCAGGGATGGGACAGCCAGAGAAGAAAGGAATAATAGCCAGCATTTCCCACCATGAGTACCTTTCCCACTTCATAATTTTGGGAACTTATTTACCGGGGTTTATTCAGTGACCTGCCGTTGTGCTGAAGCTACAATCTACAAGTCTATTTTTGCATTATTAATAGTATTGTGCAGATGGAGAGTTTGATGTTAGGCTATAGTATATATGATGCTATGATACAGTTATGTGTAAATCATACTGAAAATTCAAGCCTGACAGTGAATTACCATTACAGGATCCCCAGGGTGACTCACAGCAGCTGAGGAACATCATGTTTTAAGAGAATTTTTCCCCCCTGACTCATTTTTTTTTTTTTTTTTTTTTTTTTTGCATTTTAACCTTGTAGTCATTGAATCATTTCAGAACAATGTATATGGTACAAAGCCAAAACAAACATTTTGTTTTTGACCAGTTTTTTATGTATTGCCATTCTTCTTTTCTTGCTTTTCTCATGGCAGAAGAAGTGTGTTAAATTAATTTTCTAACCTGTTCCATTTGTTTAGGTTTCACTGGCCATTGTTTAGTTACTGATCCCAGGTGCCTACACCTTCATGTCATCTGTTAGTATAAAGTGAACATTAAAGACACGTTTTAAACACAAATGATTCAGAGAAAAATGTCTGTGTTATAAATAACCTCCATACTAAACTGCTAATTACTGATAAACCAACTGCAGCTGGTGCATTTTTGATTTATTAAATGATACCTACTCCATTGCTGCCTCCTACTGGTAAAACCGGTGACAGCACTGCACTGGCATTTCTTGGTTTAAAGTCATCTAGGCTCTACCATTTCCCACCTACCAGCTAGCCCCCATCAGACGATAGCTACCAACCAGGGAGGGTGACGTGTGCTTCCTCTGAGACATGTAAAGCCAGCCAACCACATCTTTTCAAACTGCTGCTCATGCTGCGTCAGTGGGCAGTGTAACACACATGGAGGAAATCGCTATGGCTATGTGTATGTACTTTTCAAGTGAACCAGTGCTCTATGCAGAACACATTCTTAGGTTTGTGTATATAGAATCCACTCTTCAATTCAGACCTCAGGTTATCAATAAACAACCATTCCTTTATGAACTGTGGCTCATCTACAGCCAAGTCTTAACTTCCTTGCAGAGGAAATCAGTTCTGGGCTAAAATATTCGGCTACCAAGAACAATTCATGATGCCATCAATCTTCACACTTCGCAACCTCATATTTAGCTAAAAGCAACAACAGAGCTTCAGGAGAGCAATTTTTTTAAATAGTATATTTTTAAGGATGACCAATTTTTTTGCAGTGCATTAATTTTAAAATATTCTAAGCTATCCATAGTTCTGCCACAAACACAATGTTTAAACACTTGTGTGTGATCTATACAATCATTTTTGCCATTCTGGATGACACCTGACTGTATAAACTCAACATTTGCTCACTGAGCATGGAATTGCATTTTAAAGACAGGAAAGCTCCAGTTGCGACAGACAATTGCGACAGACGCTTTACAAAGCTTAAGGAAATGGCTGTTTGTACATGCATTAAATGTTGCTCCTGCTGAGTATAGCAGTAACTCAACATGTTAGTGTTTTTCAGATGAAGAAGGCATGTGTGCACACACACACACACACACACACACACAGTCCTGCTGTCACTGCAGAAACAACGGAAACCAGAGACCCTCTTTGTTAATAGCATTGTGTCAGCTGAATGGCTAAGCATAGGAAGACACACACACACACACACACACACACACACAAGTCCCTAAATCAGTCTTGATCAGTGTTCTTGTATCATTAAGCTGATTATTTGAAATACTTGACGACTGTGTATACTCAATAAAAATTATTTTACAAAAACAGAGAAACCTTATGGGGCAATGGGTTTGACTTCTCACTTGTCTTTGTTGCTGAAAATTGTACATTTACACTGATGGCATTTGGCAGAAACCCTGCTCCAGAGCAATTTACATTTATCTCATTTTTTTTTTTTTTTTTTTTTTTACAACTGAGCAGTTGAGGGTTAAGGCCCTTGCTCAAAGGCCCAGCAGTGGCAGCCTGAGATTTGAACTCATGACCTTCTGGTCAGTAGTCAAACAGCTTTAACCACTGAGCGACCACAGAAAATGATACCTTTACTGCGACCTTCAAATGACAGTCATGTAATCCTAGACCTTCTGCAATCTTAAGGGGAAAAATGTAAAACTCATTATGAAGTCACATAATATAGATTAGCTCTATTTTACCTAAAACTGTCATACCTGTTCTTGGTTTTGCAAGGACAAAATGCACTGGACACAGTACTGTACTGTATATACATAGCTACCGCTTATAATTTTCAAAGAGAAATGAGAAACACCATGAGAACCAAACAGTTCTCTCTCTCTCTCTCTCTCGTATGTATGTATTTATGTATGTATGTATGTATGTATGTATGTATGTATGTATGTATGTATGTGTATGTATATATATATATATACATACACATACACATATACATACACACACACACACACACACACACACACACACATACATACATAAATACATACACATACACACACACACATATATATATATATACACATACACATACACACACACACATGCATACACACTTCATGTAAAACTTACCAACAGGCTTTTTAATCATCTAGTGAAAAACTGACTTGTGTCCAGTATTCCAGATCATTATGTTTGTTTTATTTGCTTCCCCTATAAAGACAAAATGTTAAAAAAGGACATTTACTATTACAAATTTGACAGAAATGTGTAAACGTTGCAGGTATGCTCGACATACACATACTGCCGCATTTACTGTCCAAGTAAAAATATATGTGCAACCGGCATGGAGGCAAAAACTTCATACCTTTTCCGCCCTGTACAAGAATTCCTTCCCAAAAACACAAGGCAACATTTCAGCCCTGTCAGAACAGACGCCGAAAGAAATTTCAAAAACTTGACAAGCGGCAGTGCGCTGACTCGCTCAGAGTGCGTATGGTTAGCGCATGTGTGCGCGCGCGCGCGCTTGCGTGAGGACGTGCCGGTTGCGTCATGACGTACAGGTACGCCAGTCTCCAGGTTTGGCACCGTGTATTCCGCGTTATCACCAGCACAAGCCTGCACGTGGACAAAGGTGCATCCCAAAAATATTCCATTATAAGTGCACTAGGTAGGAAATGAAATGAAATGAACCAGAGAGCTTTAATATTCTTCTCAAATAGCTAGTATTCTACAGTGATGTTAAGCACTTGATGCTTCATATATCTCTACTGTCTCTCTGTGTATTTAGTAAGACCACAGTACTGCAGAGTTCAGCTTTCTATGCCATTTAACACCCCCGATTCCACTTATCACCTAATTCACAAGACCTTTGTGGGTTGAATTGGGTGTGAAGAGGGTAAACACAGATCTTTGTATGGTGGTGTGGTCCCCTGGGCTAAAGCAGGGACTGTATGTGATGTTAAAACCCACTCGATGCATTTAAAGCGATGCAGTAAGCTGTTCCTAAATAGTTTTACTGGCCTTGTACTAAGCATCAAGTGCTTCACATCATTGCAGAAAACTAGCTAACTGTGTAGAACATTAAATCTTTAATTCAGAGGTCTTCAGTTTTATCCACAAAGGGCCAGTATGACTGCAGGCGTTCCTTCCACCCAGGCAGCTTGAAGACTCCTGCTTTAGATGCTCTCATCTCATTCCAGTTCATCTTCAGTCTCTTTAACTCCACTCTCCTCTTGGTGGTCATGGCATCTGTATTTTTGAGATTTGAATTTTTTGACTTTTTTGCTGACTGTCAAACATATCAGTCTATAAGATATAAGATGACTGACATATCATTGAATCGTTCATTTTATTTAAATTGCTACATTTTTATTTCTTAAACATTGGCACCAAACCCAAACTTTGGCACCTATAATACAGTATTTTGGTAGAGTTAATAAAAGAACAAAAGCAGCTGATGCCATGTAGGACTTTATTAGGCAACTGAATGTTAAATCTCCTTTAAACACAATCAGGAATTTGACACTGGCCAATCTCACTTTCCACAAACAATCCTATTTTTAACAAAGTGTCTTTGAAGCAGTTAAGACCAAGCCACCAGATGTTCCCCACCTGAGTACTGCAGTACACAGTGAACACAGCATCTGCTACATCAGAAATCATGACACAGACCCCAGTCTGACAGTATGATTCTCCCTTCGCAAAACAAGGATGAACTGTTTGATGTTAAAAAAATCACCAAAATAAAATCTGACAAAAACCTTTTGAATTTTTCTTATATGGCTGTGGATCATGGTCTTGCATGATTTTTCATGACTAATTTTCAGTGCAAGAGTTCAAATAAAATGGAAATGTAACTTCAAAAAAATCTAAATCTTTTCAATGGAAACAAAACAAAAGAATTATAATGAAAAGTCATCACTTGACATGCTGTCACACCTTTGGGGTCATGCAGTGTTTTAAGCTTTGGGACAATGGACCCAATTATAGTGATGACACAGTGACATCTTGGCACAAACATTCAGTGTACCAATGTGTGTAACCACCATGAGGCGCTTCCATGTAACTGCTGAAATACAGATCCACTGGGACAGATTCAAGTTCAAAATTAGGGATGAAATATGGATAAAATTATGGATAATGGGGATAAATGTCCCTTCAGGCAACTGATTGTAACAAATTAATGCCTGCTTTTAATGAATTTAAATATGAATACCTTATAGGTGTTATTATGAATTGTATATCCGAGGTTAGTATATTTTTGACTTTTCAAATATTCCTAAGGCTGGGAAATATGGTGGTCCATACTGAGGATGACACATCTACAAATGGAGAAAGTCTGAAATGAGGCATAATGGTTTGAGCGAAAACCTACAATGATAGTAAATACCACTTTTTATGGCATTTTATTTTAATGATACGGTTCTGAGTTTGAGGGAAATGTATAACTTATGTTAATTACGAGATCTTGGAAAATAAGTTTAATGATCAGACAGTAGAGCACAACAAGATAAGGAATCATCACAAAATACTCAATTTTTTGAAATCTATAGGCCCAAACTCTACGTACATTTTTTTTTTTAAATATATATTTTATTTACTTGTCATTAGGGCACTTCAGCAAGAACAGACACACGGAATGTGCTTTCTCCAATTTCAAAACACCAAAATCTATATGTGCACTGTTACATACAAATAAATACAGACCATAGCTGCTTATGCTACTCAGTTATGGTTAAATCAGTAATGCATAATGTATATTTTGCATTAAACCTTTTGCAAAGATACTTTGTTATGGCATTTTGTAAGTACTAGAGTCAGCATGGACCTCCCACCAGCAACTGACTAATTCTGGGGTGTAAGCAGACCGGTCTATCATTTCTAGATTTTCCCTCTGAGTTTCTTGTTGATGGATATGGCTGAAATGGCTGATGGGTATCTGAATGTTCAATTCTGTACTAATACTTTTCCGTTCTATTCCTCAAAGAACACTTTTCCATCAATTTCCTCTTTAATACATATTTTAGTCTCTGGGGGTCCATTGTTGAAAGTATAATAATACAAAGTGAATTCAGTCAATTTCACATGTAATTCTTTTTCAAGCCGTTATATTTTTTTTTGTAAAACACCTACAACTAAAATCTTTTTTTAAATGGATGAAGCCGTGTATGAAATAAAACATCACAAAACATTATAATCAACAACTACCTGTTAAAAGGAATCTTTCAGTCCATTATCATTTCAATATAAAATACCATCCCATAAAGCACTGATAAATATATTTCCAAATGCCTTTTTTTTTTTATTCTGTATATACTTATATCTATATGTGTAAAATGTGAGCAATGCAAAGAAGTCTAATATGATGTGAAGGAAAAAAAAAACAAAAAAAACCAGAACATAGTCTTAAGAATCAATGAAGTTTACATCAAAAAAGAAAATTAATTTTCTTATCTATGAAAACGGTTAGAGGAAGGGTCATTGCACTTCCTCAGGATGAACAAGTTAAAACTGGCCCACTCATTAATGAACCCCTCTACAATACCCACTACCCACTTGATCAAAGTCGGCCCTTTTCATTACATGTTCATTCGTTAAGTTGGCCCCTTCCTGGAATTACTTGCTTCTTTTATAACATTGGCCAGCAGAAGCATGTGAAGAAAAACTTGTGCAAAACTGCATTCTGCCTCATTCGCTCTCTCTTTGTGGTGCCATTATATACAGTACAGCTAGCTCAGTGTATAACAATTCAGCGTGCAGACATTTCAACCACGGGCCAATACGCCCATCAATAAACAATTGTAAAACCAGCTCTAAAAGAATATTCTATAGTTAGTATAAAGTGGCTAGACAATCTTTTGGACTTCTTGCCTGTGGCATGAAAAACATGCATTCCCTTTCTCAAGAGCTTCATGTCTACCTTCACCTCCTCATCTCCACCAATCAATCAAACGGATCGTAGCAGTACCACAGACCAGTCTGCTTGCTTGTGCGTGTGGGATTCGTGGAGCCGTGAGACGTCTGCTTGCATGCTTATTGCTCTAAAGACACTCGGAAAGAAAGAGAGTAGGAAGGAGAGAGAAAGCGAGAGAGTGAGAGAAGAAAAGAAAGAAACTGAGTCTGCTGGAGATGGAAAGACAGAGGTAGACAGTCCAAGAAGCGAGAGACGAGCAGAAAGACAAAGAGGAGAGTGGGGGGGGGGGGGGGG